GTGTTACAGATTATGTTAAGAAACTTGAGGGATTTGTGGATTCTCATTATCCAGATCATGTGTATAGGTTGAAGAAGGCCTTGCATGGACTCAAGCAGGCTCCTAGAGCATGGTACGATTGCTTGGCCTATGTTTTCTTAAGAAAGGGATATTCTCGATGGGTAGTTGATCAAACTCTTCTTGTGCAAAAATCAAAGAAAGATATTATCATTGTTCAGATTTAGATGGATGACATTATCTTTGGTTCTATCTCGAAAGCTTGGGTAAATGATTGTATAGATCATATGTCTAAAGAGTTTGAAATCAGTATGGTTGGTGAGATGTCCTACTTCTTGTGCTTGCAAGTGAATCAATCCAAGGATGTGAACTTTCTACATAAAACCAAATATGCAAAGAACTTGGTGAAAAAGTTTAGGGTCGAACACTCGAAGTGTCTTGCGACTCCTATGGGGAGCCACAAGAAGCTCTCTAAGGATAAGCTGGAACACTAATGGATTCTACCCTCTATAGGAGCATGATAGGTAGTTTGTTGTACTTGACTGCTAGCAGGACTTTTTGTGTTTTAGTGTTGGAATGTGTACGCGCTATCAAGGTAATCCAAAGGAATCTCATCTGAAAATCGTGAAGTATATCATTACACATGTTCATGGTACTTCTGACTTAGGAATTATTAATTCACTTGATATGAGTGCTAGTCTTGCAGGATGTTGTGATGTTGATTGAGCAGGTAATGTGGATGACCAACGTAGCATATTTCAGCTCTTGGATGAGTAACAACCTGGTCTCTTGGATGAGTAAGAAACATGATTGTGTTGTCGTCTCAACTACTAAGGTCGAGTATATTTCAGCTCAAAGTTGTTGTTCTCAGCAGGTGTGGATGAAACAGATGATGCTAGAATTTGGCCTTGGGGTAAGAATCATTAACCTTTTTTTTTACAACACTAGCACCATTAATATCTCCAAAAATCCAGTTCAATACTCTTAAACCAAACGAAGTGATATGCGGTACAACTTTATTCAGAATTTGGTTGAAAATGCTGTGATTGTTCTTGAATATGTTCGAACACAAAACCAGCTAGCTGATATATTAACTAAAGCACTGGATTCTAATGGGTTCATCCCTGTAAGAAAATCCTTAGGGATGTACACTCTCTGATTCCTTATGTGTGATTGCATTATATTGTATATTATAATAATATTTATTTACTGCATTGTGTGTAAGTATATAGAGTATTTGCATTGGTCATATTTTGCAACTTGTATCTATTTCACCACTAAGTCATGATTGATGTTCTGATTCTGGTGAACACAAGTGCGATGTTGGTTGACTGGGACTGATTTCTGTGTTCTTACATACCTTAGAGCTTATTAGTTTTTCTGTCAAAAAGAGCTACCATCACACAATGATTCATTGAGAAAGTTAGCACAATGTTCGTTTCCCACGGGATCGACTGTGAAA